GAAAAGGAAAATGAAACAGAAGATTCAGAGGGGGAAACAGAACAGAGGAAGCAAAGGGAAGGAGGAAAGAGAACACTACTGATGGGAGCTCCAGAAATGGGAATCAGGGCTATAATAAGTGGAACATCCCCAACCCAATCTCAATGAAGTTCTGTGACTTGTCCCCTGGCCAAGGCCCTTTCTCTCATGCCAGGATTAAGACTAGGCCTGCAAATGGGGGCAGGGTAAACTTTCTTTGCAACTGCCTCAAAGAGTGCCTTGAATCACATCCCAGCATGGGCACATCCCTCCTTTGGCCTGTGGGAGCAGGGCTGGTATTTAGAAAGGCATTACTGCTCAGAAGCAGCCATATGAGAGGTAGTACCTGTTCTGGCCAAGGGTGTGCAGTGGACTGGTGCTTGTATTTTAACCATTAGAGGGCTCCCAGCTTTTGGGAGACATTTAGATTTTCCCCACTTCAGCCTGGGTGGTTCTCTGGATACCTGACTGCTTGTCTTGTCATTCATTTTCCTCTTGTTGCTCCTCTGTTTTTATAAGTCATTCTGTTTTCTTAGACATGGCTGCTTCCAGTCCTTTGTCATACTTTCAAAATACCTGCACTTTTAAAAAGTTCAAAGACATGACCATCTCGAACTGAATGGTTCTGGGGTCCCGGCCAGTTTCCCACTGCCATATTAATAGGTATCACTTGCTCTCCTCTGCTTACCTTTGAGATCAGGTCTGAAAATCTGCAGTCCCTTACAAAAAGTTCCTAGTCAAGAATTCCCCAGGAAAGCCGTATGCTGTAACTCTACAAAGGGCTCCATCTCCAACGCACTATAATACATAACCTTACTCACTCCAAAAAACAACATATGCTAGTTGCTATACAATACAGTTAAAAATATAAACTTGCAGGCTTACATAATCCTGAAAGCGCATGTAACCAACACACTTTGGAATGACAAACAAATCTCTGTATAAAAATACTCTTCCATCCAACAGTGTCATAAAGGATTGTGCTGGGAGACTTGATTCTCTTTGCAGTGCTGCAATCAGCAGTACTCCTCCAATGGTATATTTCCATTGCAGAACAGTGCACCAGGGCAATGGTGATGCTGCCTGGATGAAGTGGACAGATGGAGTAAGAGTCGGTAATGATGGGTTATATGTCAGTGGGGAATTGGCTTTTTCCTTTTACTATTTATTTCCAGAATTTCACAATGTTTAGCTTATGAAGGTGTAGAATTCTTATTTAGGCGATTTATATGCTGCCCTTTCCAACAAAGGCTCCTGGTGGCTTGCAGTAAGAAAACAGAATGACTTATAAAACAGGAGAGGAACAAGAGGAAACTGAGTGGTAAGAAAACAAAACCACTTAAAAGGGGAATTAGAATATCAACATAAAACACAGACCCACTAAATAATATATTGATCTAGCTTTGCTTGCTAAATGTCTGCCCAAATGCAAAGGTCTTACAGCACTTCCTAAAGATGTCCCGACTCTGGCTCTGGCAGATTGTAAGACGGAGTTCCAGAGCTGCTTGATAAGTGCTTCTTGTTAATTCTTGTTAAAAGAATAACGACTAGTCAAAAATATTATTTTAGATTGGAAATGGCTTTTCAACTAAATGAAAACTTTCACCTGGAAAAAGAATTTACATTTACATTAAAAGCTAAGGGAGAAGTGTAGAAAGCCAAAGACACTTCTGAAGGGAAAGTTCCTGTTTTTTCTTTTGGTTGCAAACATTGGGAATTTTTTTCCAGGACTGGGCTGCCTAAAAAATCCCCAAATATTGCTGACATTTTCTAATAAACACTTGAAATTGTTCAAAGAAAACTCTTGTCCCGCCCTGCTGTAGAGAGCATAATGTGGGGACTGTGGCAGAGATTCTCCGAGCAAGTGAGTAGCTCCTGGTGGGATGAAATTTGAGTAATGTGTAGGAGGGTCTTTCAGGGGCAGAATGAAATCCTTGAAGATCCTCTGCCTCAGGGAGTCCCTACAGTGGCTGTTGCTGGCTGAGCCTGGAACTGGAATATCCATATGCTCCCTGCATAGCTGGCACTTATACACCATTCCCTGGGAGGCTGGAGCTTCTCACAGCTAGTAACTTCACTGAATTCCCTTCACTAACTCCTGCTGGTAAAAGATGGCCCCGAAATACTTATACTTCCAAGCTTATTTTTGCACACGTTCTAACTGTTCTTGCCTTTGAATAGTCCTTGGCTTCCCCTATCAAAGCTGAATGACAAACAACAGATCTAAAGGCTACCCAAGTGCCAGGCTGTTGATTTAATCAGGTGAAGGGTTTGCAGTATCTTTAGTTATCTTGTTATAAAAGCCTTCCTGTCTGTCTGCATTCCCATTCCTCAGCCTTGTGACTGCAACACAACATATGCATAATTAGGGATTTATAGCTAAACATACAGTAAAGCTGTCAGAAAATATGCTAATTCCATTCTTTATTGTAAGTGATTAGAGGACTGTACTTCTGGGCAAACATCTGTGCTGGAACTTTCCTAGGAAGAAGCTGAAGCTTCCTAACTCCCTTAAGACATGGTCTGTATGTGATGATACTGTATGGCTTTACACATCAGTTGGTGACAAGCAGCTGGCAAGGTGTAGTGGCCACACCTGCTCACAGGTCCCATTGCACTGTGCAGTGCCAGTGGGACTGGCATGATCTCTGGGGCCTAGCTGTGCCTGCTTGTTTCTCTGCTGCCCACTGTTGTGCTGAACATCTCCAAGTCACTCTTTAGCTTTGGTGCTTGTCAGGTTGCTTTTGAGAGCCTAGCACAGGGCTCTGCAAGTGTTCCTCTAGTTTATGCCTGAGGCAGCTCTAAATCTGCCTCTTCTACCTCAGATGCCCTTAGAATCAGAGACCTGATTTTTATTGTAACTGGAAGAATGGAAATTGTGCTTGCTTTTTGCTTAATAGCTGTAATCCAGATTTCCACCCTGCCAGGTGTCCAGGTGGGAAGCAGAAAGAAACTGAGGAGGAGACTGAGTGCTACTATTTTATCCCTTTTTGTACATGGGAGACCTGATCCTTTGAAGTGCTGAGTCTGTTCCACCCCTCAACTTAAATCCCATTGACATCAAGAGCAACTAAGATGTTTAGTGTCTTCAGAAACAGGGGGGTGTTTTTAAACACACACAGGTGTATGCAGCCCTCTCTATAATGGTATATAGAGTAGACTCTGGCTGCCAAACACCATGCCATGGTAGCTCACCTGGGATATCCTATACTTTGTGAGACTGAGGCACCAGTCAAAACAGAGGATTTAGAACTCCAAGGCCTCTGATCATGGAAGGTGTGGCTGAAGAGGTGTTTACATTGAAGCCCCTATTTTCAGATGCTTATAATCTTTAGGATGCAATCACCCTCTGGATGGAGATTTTTCATGCAACCTCCCCACTGGAGAACTGGTTGGGGGTTGGTACAGGAAGGAAAGAAAAGCTCTTTTCTTCTTGCCTTAGATCCTTTAGCATGAGTATGTCTGAGCATTTAGATGCATCTAAACAGGGGTGATGTGTAGGGGGTGCACAGCAGTGCACCCTCTACAAAAAGGTAGTACTGGCACTGTCAGCGGCGCCTGTGGGTGGTCCATGATTCCCGCTTACCGCTGCCGCATGCCCACTGCCACCATGCCCCCCTAGCTGCCAGGGGCTTATGCTGTTCATGGAGCAGGGCATACATAGCTGGAATGGACAGTGCCTGGCACAGAGGGCCACATTCTGCACAGGTTTTGAGGCACCAAAAAAGCAGAGTAGTAGCACATTGTTCAGTTAGTTGGGCTTTGCTATAAACACCCTTACTTGTCCAGAAGAACTTCTCTCGCTTAAAAAAAACCCGGATCTTTTTGACTAAGAGCTTTCCTTCCACAGCAACCCAAACACAGCAGGGACTGGGCTATAGCACCAGGAGCCCTTGGGTGAAAAAGGACCAGTCTACTTGCATGACCCCAGCTAAGAAAATATCTAGAAGTAAACAGCAAAAATGGTGAGAAATCTGATTGTTTTACTGATCCACAGGCCCCTTTTAACTCTCCCCTTCTAGGAAAAGATGTCAGGTTGTACAAACTGCTGATCGTAGAAGTGAAAGCAGTGGATCAGGGATACCCTACAAAGCTGTTCATTTAGGGCCGCACCCTTTAAGACTCAAGAGTCGCCATTCCTTCCCCAGACTGTTGTGCCTTCCCACCCTGGGGGAGATTTAGCTCCATACTGAGGGGGCCTTGGATAATAAAAGAGTCTGTCTGGAACTAGTGCATGAGTTGGGAAACAAAATGAGGGAAACAGTAGGTAGAGATTTCCTGTTAACCAGTGGTGATGCATAGGGGGTGCACATGCACCCCCTGACCGGCCACGCTTGCCACTTGGGCAATGGGCAGGAGGGGCAGGCAGGAGTGCTCGTGCTCCCCCTGCAAACACTGGACGGAGAGTGGAGCACCGTGGCGCACTGCAGTGATCAGCCATGGGGGACAACCCCTCACCCCCACCCTGGTCAGCGGGATTGGCTGCAGGGGGGACCTTCCCTCTGGTTACTGACTGGTCTCTGGTGGGGGCATGTGCCCCCCCGACTAAGTGGGCACCAGTCACCCGTGCATCTGAACAAGGCTAGATATTGGAAGCTCTGCCTGATTCCATCTGTACATGTCAGCACTTAATTGCAGCAAATACAGAGCCCTAGAGGTATTTATAAGAGGGCAGGACTGGATTTGAAGCTTCAGTCTCTCCCTCCCTAATAATAGTAGCAAGGTTCCCTGTTATAGATATGAAGTGGTAGAGAATTGAGCCCAGGATATTTTGAGTCAATGCATTGGTTCCTTTGCATCTTTGGAAAGTACTAGTGAATGTGATCCATAATTTGATGCATCTGTACATGCAAATTGCAGCTGTTTACTGTCTCTGTGAGAATGAATTTCCTACCTTCTGTACATTTAACGCATCAACCCTGAGGCTGCTTGATTTTAAATTGGCTCCTATATAAATATGTGGGATTGTATACATCATGTAATTCTGTAGGAGTGTGTTGGTTGTTTTGGGAGAACTACAGCACTTCCATTAACCCAGGGGAAAATGGGGTGACATTGATCAGTTAATTAGGCTCATTTCTGTGTCAACTTTTTATCCCAAGGAGGGTTTTACCCTTGACCATTGTATTAGAAATCTTCACCTTTTTTGGGCACTGCAGATCTCTAGCTAGGCTCATCAGGAGGTCATGGGAGATGGGATCCACCAAGTTGAGGAAGGTAGCGTTCTTGTAGAGAACTTCATTGAGGAATGTTCCTTCTAATCCAAGGTCCTATAATAAGGAAACACACACTGTTAGACTCGAGGGCCCTTGGGAGCATAAAAATGCTACATTTTGCAGCAGCTCTTTGAACAACCATGTTAGGGATCAACCAAATATGGTTGCACAATGGAGGAAGCCTTCTAACAAAAAGCAAAGCAAAAATGTAGAGGGGTGGGGGAGGGAAGGAGGGGAGGGAGTAGATAAATTACGTAATAAAAGTTGAGTATGTATCTGCTGTTACAGGAATTAGCAGAATGGAAACACAAACTGGGAACAGACAGGATTGAAGGCTTGTAAATAAAGTATTTAATTGGCCTCAGGTTAGAGTAGGGGTGGGTAATTATTTGGGCTGCAAGGCCACTTATCAAGTTTTGGCCAGCTGTTGAGGGGAGTGGGGCAGAGCGTGGCCCTGGCCTCAGACCCTGTCACAGCTGCTTACACTATCTGACACAGCTGGGGGGGAAGCAAGGGGCTGGGGACATGCCAATTGATCCTATTCAACCCCAGGCCTGTCTGAGCTGCACCCACCACTGGGAACACTGTACGGAGTGGGCAGGTAGGTGGGAAGGGTCTCCATGGAGACCATCCCAGGACCACCATGGGCAGGGCATGCTTGGCTGGACAGATAAAATGGGGCTGCAGGGAGGTGGGAAGTAGCATCCGGGAGCAGGACAGGGGGGGCTGGACTGAGGTTGGAGCCAGGGCTGGGATTGCAGGGCAGTGACAGCACAGGGCTGGGGCCCAGGGCAGAGCTGCTATCCACTCCTCACACAGTCATTGCAATGGGTGCCGGTTCTGCCCCAGGCCTTGGCCCTATGCTGCCATTACCTCATGATTCTGGCCCTGGCTACAGCCCTGGACCAGCTCACCTATTGCATTCCCAGACACTGCTCCCCACTTGCCTGTGGCCCTGTCCCATCCACCTGGCCAAGCATGCCATACCCGCAGGAGGTCCCAGGCTGGTCTCCATGGAGACCCTGCCTGCCTGGACTGCTCCATCCAGCACTCCTGGCAGTGGGCATGGGGTGGATGGCTGGGGTGCCCAGGCAGCGAGTCTGGATCTGACGGTGGCAGAGACACAGGCAATAGCAGTTAGAAGTGTGAGGGCAGAGCAAACTGCTGCCACAAGGGGTGCTAGGAAGCCGAGTCTGGATACCACGTCACCACCACCCTGCCACCAGATCCCATGGACTACAGCTTCTGCTGTGCCTGAGAGCCACACATGGGGACAGGGTGGGCTGTGCTCTGCACCAGGCAGTACCTCTACACATGGCTGTGACCACACATGCCACAGCCTGGACTGCCACCCGCACCTGAGCTCATGGGTCATATTTTGTCCACCCCTGGGTTACAGCCTAGTTGCCAAGAATAGGTAACCAGTGTTTAAAATCTACCCATAAAAATACAAAATGCTAAACAACTTCCTAGGATAACTGATAAATTTCCCATCTTTTCAAAATAAGTGTTTTTCATGTGGTGCATCTTATGGGAAGTACATGTACTAGTTGTTGCAATTTTTAACATTTTAACCACCATTTATGGTTAATTCCTGGTATGCGACGACATAAATGCAAAATACTAGATAACATTAAGATTTAGTAGCCTATTAAATTATAGGTACCCTTCAATTTGTGGGGTGAAAAGCACTATCTTGGACATAGTTTTATGCATATATAAAGCTGTGCCACGGGAAATTATTTGGGGGGGGGGGGGGGGG